AATTTAATCTTTAGTTCCATTGCTGCTGCAAACGAGGCTGTAAAAAAGGATTTTACTATTAAAGGAGGTCCTTGCTTTTATGTCACAGGACCTAAATTTAGTGGTAAGATCTACAGACTCTGGCTCATGGAATAGCTTGTCATTATAGCTTTAGCACAAAAGGCAATTTTCCCTCACCCACCCTCCAAAAGAATGAGAGTTTGAATGACAAAGGGCTTATCATCATTATCCGCTTGACAGTTCAACCTCTGCCAATACCATCTTGCATCTGCAGATCTGCTTGTCACTACATCCAGAGGAGAGCTAGGGATATTTCTAGGCTTCAGGGATGCTTCCAGCAGCAATAAGATCCATCTCCACATCGTAAGCCATATGCCTGGAGGCTTCTCAGTGTTCCCAGCTACACATAAATCTAAGTAAATTAAAGATGTGCAGCCCTGTTCCCATCCTTTCTAATAATACTGGTGAAAATTTAATCCTCTGTGGGATAGAGGTTTGAAGCCAATCTTATAGCCTTCAATTACAGTGAGATTTTTTAAAGTTTTCTGATTAGTTCAATATCTTTTTCTAGGTCAAAATATTTACTGTAAGACCTGTCTCTCATAGAATACTATCAAAATATTCATCTATTCATCTCTTTATTCAATAAGCAGATATCGATAAATAAAATAAACAGCATGCATTTATTAAGAGCTTACTATGTACCAGGCACCATGCTGGGTGCTTTACCTTATCATCAACTCTTCATAACAACCATATAAGGCACATATTATTATTACCCCATTTGTCGATAAGAAGACTAAGAGTGACATTCTGACTAACCAAGGGTTCATACTCAAGTTTACAGAGTCATACTTGAAACCAAATCTCTGACTTTAAAGCTCATACTCTTAATTATATTCAGCTATTCTGCCTCAATTGAGGGCTCATCAGGTGTCAGCTATTATGAGAAGAACAAGGGAGAAGAGACTTTTTTTAATAGCTATATGCCTTGTGGTTAAGAACTTAGTTTAGGGAGGAGAATTGATAAATAAGCATCTCATTATAATCGAGTCTGGTAATCACAGAATTTTAGTTGTTTACGTTGCTATATAGCTCATATCAAAACCTCTTAATACACAAAGCCAAGGGCTCTCTCTATGTATAGTATTTCTTTAAAACAGGATCTTCAGAGGGAAAATTCTAAACGAGTAACAGGAAGTAATATAATTAAATTATGTACATATGCTGGTTTGAAAGGCAAATTGAAATAATCTAGAAGTCCAGCCTATCTAGCCTGTCTCGGCAAACCTAAGCAGCAGTCATAAAGACAGTGGCAAGAGTGGCCTTCCCCTTTCTCTCCTGCCCAAAGTTGCCTGTAGGAGGACTTGGTATCTTTCTTCTCTTGCCTTTTTATCTTTCAGGCAGATTCCAATCCCTGTCAGGAGTCCCCTTGCTCCTGTCACAAAGGAAAACATCTGCTGTAGCCCAGAACAGCTTGCATTCCCAACATACGAGTTTTAATCAAATCTTTGCTTGTCTTTGGCCTGATTTCTTCCACTTCCCTAAAGCTGAGGGTTACTACTAAGTGCTGCCTTATCCAATTATCAGTCGTATGCAACCTCATGGCACTTTGTAGCTGAAACAGACCTTAAAGATCATTTCCTTTAACCTGCTCATTACTCTGTCACCCCTCGGCATTTATGCAATTAGTTTGCTCTGTTTGATTTGTATTTATACAGTTGCTGCTTTGTAGGATACTTAAGAATTTTTCTTCTATGCATTTTCTCTCTCAACTTAATTACAAGACCCTCAAGAACAGGGAGTGTACAAGTACAGTGTCTTGGTTTTTATTGCTCTTTCCAATGGTTTTCATGTGCTGGGTGCTCGGTAAAAGTCGTTGAGTGGAAAATACAAAATACAAAAAGTGGGATGAAGAATACATTTAAACGTTCTTTTTCTTCGTTTCGTTGAGCAGGCCATCTATTCCCCATCGCTTTTCTACACTAATTAGAGCATAATTCAAAACTGAGTTTGGACTTGAATTACTTTATCATACAGTCTTATGACATTAATTCACATTAAACATCTATCCTGAAGTTACTTTGCACATTTTGACTAACGATAACAGAAACCCACTCAAATAAGAAAAACTAAGATGAAAATTACTATGAGGCTACAAAGACAGGAAATAAGCTGTGCTTTAGGATAGAGCCTCTGCCACCATCAGAAAGACCAACCACCTTTCATTTCTGCTTCCCTTTACACATATCCTTTATTGATCTCCAGCTCTATATTTCTATTTCTCCTTCAGATAACCACACAAGGAAATGCAAGGTGGCCAGAAAGTACCTAGTTTACATGTTGCAGGTACAGCCACACACGAAAAAAGACTGAATATTTTTTTATCCCAATTTCAAATTTCCAAAGGGACCCTGATAGATCCAACTTGAGTCTTCTGTCAACCTCTATACTATACTATAACTAGAGAAACGAGATCTTGTGAAATTTTTGTTATTTTCATTCCAATGCGAAGTTGATAAGAGATATCTTAGGAAAAAAAAAAATCAAACCTAGACCAAAAAAAAAAATCAACAGCAATCTACTATAATTTCTATGCTATAATGTAGTTTCTGTAAATTCTGACAGAGAATAATGTCCCAACAACTTACATCATGCACTTAGAAGGGCTTGATGTTAGCTATTATTAATATTTAGGAGAAGTAACTACTTAGTAAACTTGTGTAGGTGATGACAGCCATAATGAATGATCAGAAGATCTTTGACTTATGTCTCACCATTTTATTTATTTATTTAAATATCTTTAACTCCCACTCCTAATTCAAAACTAGTTTATTGCGTAATGAATAATATCTCTGTAGGACTATAAAAATAAAGCCTATCTTGAGAAAATTACTAAATTCTCCAGATAATTAGAGAATTTCAGTGGTGTAGATATAGCCACAGAGCAAGATTCACAGATTGCTATCATGGTGTAACATATCGAAACAACCATTGTGATATTTCAAGGCCCAATGAGCCAAGAGTTTTATAAAAGCCCCATGAAAATATCCTAAATCTAATGACCAATTCCAGGCAAATTTTAGAAATTTTTCTCTGACTTCATCCCACACATTTAACACAATAAATTCCACAAAGTGGCACAGAAAGGAAATGACAAATGCACAAGAGCCAATGTTCTTTGAGTGCGTAAAATTCTAGAATAAGAAATAAGCTATTTTTTGTGAGATCAGGACAATATGTACATTTGGGAAACAGCTCAGTGTGACTTAGTGAGTGCTCTGCAGCAAGATACTCACTGTGAAAAGCATCACCAAAAACCTCAGAGTTCTAAATCTTCCTTCCCCATAGAGACTTGTATCTGTCCATTCATTATTTGGAGCAGGGATGACTGACTTGGGACTCTCAAATCATGCATAATATAAAGAGACTTACTTCCCTCAGGCTTCCAGATTGTCAGGTGAGGCCGTCCAGCCCATGATGGAATTAAAATCCAAATAGTCACTGAACAATAAAACGTGTTACAATTCGGTCCAGTTGAGGCGAGTCGAGGTCTCATTATACAAGCCCTCAGGGCTCAGAAGGAGAAGAACAATGATGGAAATGTGCGTTGCCATGGTGTCCCTGCTGCATCCCATGATCTCTCAGGAGTGGAACTGAGTCTCTTTGAACCAATTTGGTGGCAAACATCCTCTGCTTCCCATTCACAGGAGTCAAATCAACAGTGAATGTTCCTGCACCCCACATGGATCATTAAAACTCTTGCTATTCAGGTTTCCTAAGTGATCTTTTCCCAGTTCTGGAATGGAGTTGCTTATTGTTGCTGGGATAGAAAAGCAATTGTACCGTGAAACATACACAGTTGTGACGTGATTATTAAGACAATAAAGGGAGCATAATAGGAGTCCGGAGTCACATACTGGGAGTAAGGAGATCTCATCCCACCTCCATTACCAGATCATAGGGTGACCTTCAGAAAACCCCCAAATTAGCTGAGGCCTCAGTTTCTTCATCTTATCTAAGATATTTCTTTTAAAAATCACTATTTATAACCAAAGAAAGAAAAGCCACAAATATTATAACTGTAATATACCATTAATAATAAAATGCATCATAATTAAAGATATGTTAAAATATGGGGAAAAAGTACATTTTAGAATCAGTGATAAATGATATAACTGAGAGGCAGAGGTTTAGCAAAGCTGATATTTCTGAAAGCGGCCCTCTCGGATTGCTTGTTCTTTTTAAGAAATGACTGTTTTAATTGTTGACTTCCCTTCTTTTTGGAGTTGTACTGAAGCAACTGAAAATAGCTGCAGAAAAGAGAGGAACAGGGCTTTTAAGAAAAATGCATTTCTGTCTGGCAGTTGAAAAGTGACTTTTAATCAATTAGGGATTTGAAAGTTAAATCCCTCTCCTGTTCTAAACAAAACTCAAAGTCAGGAATTTGCAAAAGGTCAACTCTCACTCCCTGCTTACCAACCAGCTTTCAAAGCACAGGTCCTTGTCACATCAGAATCTCCTCACTTCAATCTTCTTGATTAGTTATCTTTTCCTTCCCTCCCTTCCTTTCTCTCTTTCCTTTTTCTTTCTTTCTTTCTTTTTTTTGTGTGTGTGTGTGTGTGTGTGTGTTTGTTTTTTTTTCCTTTCTTCTTCCCATCCATCAACAACTATTAAGCACCTATTCTGTGCTTAATAAATAGCCAGGTCCTGTGCTAAGTGCTCAAATGCAGCAAGGAATAAAATAGGCACAGTCTGAGCCATCGTCAAGAAACCTGCTCATCTTGAAAGGGAGACAGTCCTGGGGAAAGGAATCACAATGAGTTGTAATAGGATTTGGAAAATAGGTGAAGACTTCACCAGGAGGTGACATCAAAACTGAAACCTGAAGCATAATCAGGAGTGTGCCAATTTATACAATAAATTCCCTCACAACAGAGAGTTGAGTCCTATTGCTAACTGAATTCCAGTTAACTAAAATAACTCAAGAATGTTTGACCTACACATTTTCTATTTTCTCTTATAATCTAACCTTATGTTGTACTCCTCTCCAGATTATCTTTTGCTCTAGCCAATCAGTAGCCTCATTTTTATCCACAGATCCTGTTCCCTTGTTGTGCTCCACACCTTTGCTCAGCTCCTGCAGTTGCCTAAAGTTCTTTCCACACTCTTCCACCCAATTAAATCTATGACTTACTCAGCACTTATTATGCATCTCGGCCCAGTTTTCTTAAGAGAAAACTGAGACGCAGAGAGGTTTAGCAACTAGTCTGAAGTCACACTGTAAGTAGCCAAGCAGAATTCAAACCAAGATGATCTGTTCCCAAAGTTCCTTCTATTTATACTATGCCATACCGGCCTATTGTAGCCAGATCCCTTCTTTATTTCAAGGCCAAGCTCAAACCTTACCATTCCCATGAAGTTTCTCTCTGATAGCTGCAGCCTGTAGAGATCTCACTTTCTCTAGTCTTTTTGTGTGTATTTCCCGTGTGACATTGTTTTTAAATGTGTCAACATAAACAAATTTTTCAACAAAATTGTAAACAACTTGTGAGCAGGAATTGTACTTCACATCTCTGGGATTTGGGATTATCAATGCATGACGAGTAGCAGGCTTTCTTTTATAGTAGATGTAGGTTGGAAGATCGAACTATTAGCTGAGAGACCTCCTAAGCTGGGTTTCAGGTAAGGGGCACTTTTGCAGATGCTGGGCCATAGAAGCTGTGAATAAAAAGAGAGCTATGTAATAAACCTGACAAGCTCAGGGTGGGAGAGGTGAGGGGGTCAGAGGGCAGCCTTGACAAGCTCAGTGACCAAAAATAACCACGCAGGATGGTGGGATCACAAATTCCTAACTGGGTCGGTCATAGTATGTAGTGACATCCCAGGACTACGGCTTCCTTAGCGAAGATCAGTCTTTCCCTTAAGTGAGGTTTGTCCATTTTTCTTATGCATCTAGGATAACATACCTTTGATATGTCAAGGTAATTTTCTTTTCCCACCCTTCAAGTGCACAACTGCTGGCACCAGAGCACAAGACCACAGAACCCCTCATTGTTATTTTATTCCTTGCATACCATCTCTATGTGCTGTATATGTTAATTATTAACCATCCTGTACTCACCAATGTAGAAGAAGTATGTGTTTCTCCATTTTGCCTTTTATCCAATCCTATAGATTTCCTCCTTATGCTTTCACCTGCCTCTTTAATCCACCACCAATGGATTTTACCTTCCTCACATCTTCTCTTTTGATCCTAATGTATAAAATAAACTGCATCACTGCCATTTTGGGGCACATTTGAGATCTTGCTCCCCAGCATAGGTTGTTAGTTTGGCTCAAAAAAAAACATCATAAAAATTCTTTACGGGTTTGGAAGTTTCTTACATCAACCAAGCTCTCAGAGGCTCAACCAGGCCACTTTTGCTCTTAATTCAGCTTTCCTTCCAGGCAGCGCCATGAACTTAGTGAGCATTCACTGTAAATGGGAAATAAACAAAAGTTAAGGATATAAAAGTTTTCCTGAGCTTTGAACTCCCTCCCAGAGCAACCAGACCAGACAATTATCTCTCTTTGAATGCAAATCAAATGCCTTTGTTGATGAGAAATTATATTTTTTCATTGAAATTTCTCAGGACATGAATTCTCAAGTGGATCAGAGCTGACATATATTATTGGTTTTTATTCTTCCCCATCCCTAAGTCACATCCCTAAGTGTTCATGAGGCACTTAGAGAAGTGCCTCCACCCCACCAGGCTGCCAATTGATCATTTAGTACATTATTACATAACTTATTACCAGTAAGTGACAAAAGCACAGAGAGGAATTTGATTCCTTATCATTATTTGCATGACATATGTAGCACTTTTCTCCAGGCTCTGTGCAGAGAATATTTAACAGGCTACATTAACTTCCAGGCATCTAGAATTGTACAGTAAAAACAAAGGAAGCAGATTCAAGAGAACAGGAAAGGTAAAGGGTGGGATAAGAGAAGATCTGATATGAAGGAAAAAACAAAAGCAGATAAAAGCAAAATCAAGTCCCGAAGAGAATGAAAAGTGTGTTCTAGCTCTCCGAGATGAATCCAATAGACCACAAAACAAAACTACCTAAAGAGTTCCACTTGCCCCATCTTCTTCAGGCCACAGGTCAATGTGTTAAACCGAAGAAAGGACTATTTAGTCTAGGATATAAGAGCGAAAAGTATTTCCATTTTGTCATGAATGTGTTAAAAGCTGAAGACAGAGAGCATAAAGAAATCTTTATGTGGACCCTAAGTAGAGAGTCTATTATCTGAGTATGCTGATCTAAACCATCCAGCGTACACAGCACAAACTCCTGAAATGCTCTTTTTTCTTATTCTAAGAAGCACCCAGAGTGACTGTCCACATCTTCATTCATCCAGGAATTTCACTTTAATTATATTAGTCTTTATCAGTTTTTACCAGGATAGACTCTTCTCTAAAATGTGTCCTTATTTTCAGCATTTTAATTGTCCTTTCACAGAAACACACACATACACACACACACACACACACACACACACGTATGTGTGCACACACACTACTCAGTGGTCTAGTGAATGAGAAGCAGAGGATTATGATATCATACGAGGTTATAATTTCCAGGGGACCAGACACAAAACACACAATATGACTTTGCCTTGGATGTGTAGACCTAGTTTAAAGGTTGTGCATTTTTCATTGATCACATTTTAATATATATTCTGGATATGTCTCAAAGACTCTGTCAACATCCAGTATCCCCCAAACCCCTAACTGTGGCCATGTAAGGCCTGCAGCAGTTCATAAAGATCTCTTCAATCACATGCGATTCTCATTACCAGGACATACTCTTTCCAAGAAAATGCCAAGAAAAAGGGACACCTTGAAGAGATCTGGCAAAACTTCTCTGGTCATTTGTAAGAGATAAACGTTTCCTTTGCCTCATTAATTCACATATTTTGGCATAGAGAATGTGCATTATCCTTGCAGTTATCACCAGCCTCAAAAAACCCTGGGAATTTTGTGAAAAAGCTTAATGGCTCATGCTATAAATGGCAAGATTCCCCCCAGCTGGCATCTCCAACTTGCAACAGTCATTCATGGGATATTGCTTTCCAGATGAAAATCAAGCTGGAAGATAAAACAGGAAAAGTATCACAAAGTGCCTTGTCATCTCTAGATATATTTGGGAGCAGCTTAATTTCCATTTGTCTCGGCTTTTAGATGTTTACCACAGAGCTTTCATTTGGGAATGGGAAACCAGGCTTGCATGATAAGTAATAGATATGTTGTCTCAAAGGATAGCACACGTGATGTCCATTTTTTAATCATCCATGTATCCTTCAACAAATACATGTGGAATATTTATTATTTGCTCTTCACATTTGAAAAATATAAAGAAGAATAAATTATGTGATGTCCCAAGTAGTTTACAGTCTTCTTTGAAAAACACATATATAGAAAAAAATCTGGTTATGATCAAAGACGAACAGGTAATAATAGATATATATATATCTCTTCACTCAACATTTTTTTCTTACCTATATTGGGAGGCAGTTTGGAAACTGATATCATCTCTGGGTTCATGAATTCAACTCATATGAGTGAATCCGCTGGTATCCATTTTTAAAATAATCTACTATTTACCATTTTTGCATGTCAGTTATAGGAGACAGGAATGCACAAAGCATATTCATGGAACCATGAGTGTCAGTTTTAACTGTACCATAGGAGATCTATGGAGTGTTTTAGAAGAATAAGCCTGAAAAGATATGGCATATCCACATTGTAGAGCATCTTAAAAGCAAGGATCTGGATGGGTTTAGTTTAATAGGCAATAATTGCTACTGAAAGTTCTTAAACAGAGACAAAATTTGAAAAATAATCTGTCAATACTAAATCTATCCACACATGTATGAATTATGAGCTGGGAATCTGGGAGTTAGAGCAACCAGTTAGAAAGGAACTGTATTCTTCATAACCAGTGATGAACGACTGAATTTAAGTTAATAACAGGGAGAATAAAGTGAGGTTAGTTTTGATCACCTTGAGTTTGAGTTTGAGTCAATGGGTCATCTTTCAGGTAAAGATATGTAGCAAATAACTGGAAACGCAGGCCTAAGACAGGTTATCACTGTGATACAAGCACAGGCATACTTCATTTTATTGTGCTTCACTTTACTGCACTTCATAGATATTTCATTTTTTACAAATTGAAGGTTTGTGGCAATGCCGACCAAACCCAGCAAGTCTATTGGTGCCATTTTTTCAACACGCTCAGTCGATGGTTAGCATTTTTTAGCAACAAAGTATTTTTTAATCAAGGTATGTACATTTTTTAGACATAATGCTATTGCACACTTAATAGACTACAGTATAGTGTAAACATAAGTTTTATATGCACTAGGCAACCAAAAATTTGGTTGTGACTCACCTTATTGCAACATTTGCTTTGTTACAGTGGTCTGAAACTGAACCCACGATATCTCTGAAGTATTCCTGTTTAAAGTTTGGAAGCACTTTCCAAGAAGTGGTGTTTTATTTCATGTGAATAGATGCAGTCACTTAGAGAAAGACTATAGCTAGGGAGAGAAACGAGAAGGACCAAGAAGGAGCATCTTCTCCGTTTAGGAAGAAGGGAGAGGACCAATGAGCAAGTCTTAATAGTAGTAATGAAGAGTCACAGGAGCACAGGAGAATGCAATATCACAAAGTTCGGCTGAATTTTTAAGGTGTGTGCCTTAGTCTGTTTGGGCTGCTATAACAGAATGCTGTGGGTGGCTTCAAAAGCATTTACTTCTCACAGTTCTAGAGGTTGGAAGTCTAAGATCAGGGTGCCAGAATGAATAGGTTATTGGTGAAGGATCTCTTCCTCGTTTGCAGATAACTGCTTTCCAGTTGTATTCTCACATAACAGAAGGAAAGATCATCTCTTTCATGTCTCATCTTGCAAGGGCACCAATCCCATTCATGAGGGCTCCTCCCTCACGACCTGATCATGTCCCAAAGGTCCCACCTCCAAATATAGAAGACAAAAGTGGAAACTGTGTGAAGATGCTGAGAAATACTCAAGAAAGAAAAGCTTCCCTCACTCAAACAGTAAACGAGGCTCAAGATACCTCTAGAGTCAGAAGATGGCTCAGAAAGCATGCAAAAAGTGAGTCAGTTTAGAATATGGGCTCAGGAGAATGTGAGAGGGAACTAAAAAGAGAGAGCAAACATACTGCCATGCAGTATGGAAGGTCCCGTTGCAGATGAGCCGAAAACACTTTATTTAAAGCTCTGAGATTAGTTTTGTGACTTACTCTGTGGATTGCCTGCAGCCTGCGAACAAGAAGGGGAAAAAACCGAAGCGACAAGACTAAGCTATTAGCTATCTGTGCCGCTATTTCCCAGTGTCCTTTGTAGCTGGTGGGAATAGCAGAAGGTCCGTGGGTCAGGGAGACTGAGTGTGATGGCAGAAGTTTTGTTGAAATTCTTACCACTGAGGTTCACACTGAATAAGGAGGTCACTAAGGTCTAAAGCACAGGAGCTGACAAGTCATCGTTCTGAACACATAAAGCCAAGTCTTTGCACTTGGTCTTTCCTAGAGACAGAGCTATAGGTATGGGAACATTTCTCATTCCTTCTGAGGTAGACCCGCCCTTGGTATCTAAACTAGTCAGAGGGAGCACTGCCCCATCTTCCAACACACAGCTCGGGAGGCTATGTTCTGGCAGAAACTTTCACATTAAACACTGATATTTCAAAGACGGAGTAGGCACAAACACTAACTGTAGTTACTGAAGAGGCAATGCTCCACAGTCACTGGGAAACAGCAAAAAGCAGTAGTGAGTAACTCTTTTTACAGCATCTAAATCCAGTGTGAACAGGATTTTTGACCCTATAGGAAACTTCCCATGCTCTCTCTGTACATGTGATTTGCAGCATTGTCTACAATATCCCTTTAAGTGTGAGAGCCATGGTACATACTCCAATTAGATAAAGTTTCCACCAATAAAGAAAGATCTTGTTTCATTAGCTTTGAGTTCATTCAGTTGCCAATAACATTTTGATTTTCAGCTGAATAAACAATAAATCCAGGAATCTCTTTAGATGTATGGTGTACTTGAAAGAAGCTTTTTAGGACACTAGCCAAAGATATTTACTCTAACATTAAAAAGATAATATAGCTGAGCTGAATTAACCTATTTAGGAATGCATTTCTTCCCAAGGGAAACTACTAAGTTATTCTTCACAAGCAGACATCGGCTGCCCCCACACAATTAGACATTGGGGATCAGATAAAGTGTTACTGTACTTACCACTCTGAACTACAAAGCCTTCAGATAAATCCAATTACCCATGCAGATAACCAAAGAAATGGTCTTTTTAGAGTAAATAACCTATTTCATAGAAAAAGTTATTGCATGGAAAGAATGCTGTATGAAAGAATGACATCAGAACGAATTTCTCTTTCCTCTCCTCTTCCTTTCCTCCCACGCTCCACCCTCCCTCCTTCCCTCTCTACCATATGGAGTTAGCTATTGGCAGGGTTCTCTAGGGTGGTGGAGTCACAGGGCATGAGGATGGCTGCCTTCCAAACTCAGCCCTCAGGGCATGCCACGGACCGGAAGCCATATCAGGAACTGTACAAACAACACAAGAGCCAGTGGGGTCCAGCTCCTGCTCTGTAAGCATGAATGTTGGCTGAGTCTGAGGACAGTGGAGGCAGTTATGGCTCAGAACCTGCTGACGGCACTTTCTGATAATAAGAATTTTGGAGAAGAAAAATTGCTTGAAAATACTTCAAAAGATAAAGATAAATTATATCTCACTGTGTCTGGGAAAAAACTGACTATATTACCAATTCTAATGGTCTGACTGGTCAGTCACTTGTCCCCAGTAAGCACTATCCAGTACAACTTTCCACCTTGGTCCATGCAGTTCTGTCCATCAAAAAGGGGCTTCTTTTCCACTTCCCGTCACTTTCAATACTCAGTTTAGACCTTAGCACTTCCAAAGAGTTTCCCTTGACAACACCAGCTCCCAGCCTTCTCTTCCCCTCTGAAACCTCCACATCACCTATTGTCTACTGCTTGTGTGTCCCACATTTATTCCATAAGGCACTGTAATGTTAGTTTTTATAAGTATATCTTGGCTGATTCATCACATTGTGGTTGTTTGGGATTACAGACTTTGGCACCACCCAGAAAGATGCTGAATGCTACCTTTGAAGTCACTGAGCAGAGACCTGAAATTCCTTTTAGTTAAGAGGCATACTTATATAAATGTCCACAGTCCAATAAGCACCTTCCTTGATACATGGATGAATCAATCCAACCTCAGACTCGGTGTGGTGTAAAAAAGGACAACAGAGTATAAAAGAAGCTACATGAGTCACTGCCCTTCTGTAAATGTTTGAATTTGGTTGCCCTAGAGATGCAAATCAAACTCAGCTCTGAACATAGCAGGACTTAGAAGGGCAGTTGTTTGCTGAAGATGTCCATGAGGTCAGATATAGAGGCCTGAGGATAGCTGGGGTCATCTCTGAGCAAAGTTCGCACTTGCCAAAGGTTTTCTTTGTCTCAGCCTCACTATCACAGTGCTGCCATGTCAAAAAAGGAAAATGGAGCACTGGCTTGGCCACAGAGGTTTGGTGACCAGGCCTGTTGCTGTCCTGACAACTCTATGAGAAATAGAATACAGAAGTGTGGTTCCAGCAAGTTTCCCTATTAGAAACTCTAGATTCTGGGTTTTTCTTATGTGACAGATCCCTCTGCATTGACCACTCAATACTGAGCATGTCTTCTTGAGTGACATAAAGGACTGTTCACTCATTTATGTCCTCTTTCATATATATACTCTTTACACTATTTCTGCGCTGGTCCCATAGTAAATAGAAGCAAAACTAACCTTAACCAAATCTTTCTCATCACCTACAATGATCTTTGAAACTGGATTCATGGTTCTCACCCAGCTCAGGGGCACGAGCTCACCCTTCAGACCAGCTAAGTTCACTTGTCCTGACCCTCCGTGGCCTTCAGCCTTGATCTTAGAGATTTGGTGGTCTTATTTGCAATCACTAGGTACAGCCCTAGTCATTGGGCTGTACCTAGTGATTGCAAACAAGACCACCAAATCCGGATAGCAGTCCGGATAGCACCGAATTTTATTCTAAGAGTCAAGTCCTTCGTATGTGGCCCTCCTGTAAGTTATCTGACCACGTGTTTGGAAGGTACCTAAAAATTCCTATTATAATGAAACCATCACAACTCTTATAAAACAGAAATCTTAAAAACCAAGGGAAACAGTTCTTTTATCTCAGTTTGCTTAAAGACATCAAACACAAGTAAGCACCATTCTCTTAGGTATTCCTTCTTAGATTTTATTTCTAATAAAATATTTGGTATCAAAACATATTTTAAAAGTCTAATGCCCCATATCAGCAATTACTGTTTTAAAAGGCAAAGTTTTTTCCCTCAAGAACCTAAAAACTTCAGTCCTCACATGGCAATAACCAGTTCTTTAAAGTTTACTAAAATAAATCTTAAGAAGTTTTCATGTATTATTTTGAACTCTCTGTTGACTTGGAAACAGCAGAGGATTTTCGTCCCTCTCATGCCTCCTCAGGATTGCTTCTCAAGGGCAAGGAGCTCTCCATCAGCAAGAAAAGGGAGAAAAATGCTCCTCATGCCCTATAAACTTTACAAATGAAACTATTTCTTGTCTAGTGGGATTTCTTAGCTTCTGTCTTCATTCAATCCCTAAACTGAAGCCCTGCTGTCAGACAATGCTACCTGGGGCTATGTTTGAGGAAACCTCATTCTGGCCCTCCTCTAGCCACCCTCCTCCTCACAGAGCAAAAGAGGCAGCATGGTCTCCTCATACCAACCTGTACTTCTAAGATGTCCCAGGCACACAGGACTCCAAAATTCCCTGCCCAGATAGCCCACGATTGTTTCTGTGGCCATAGGATGCAGCCCTGTCTTGAAAGTCACCCAATGAGACAGGCACAATTAGAAGAACCAGTCTTGAGGTATGCTCCTTATCTTTTAGGGGATAAGATTTATTCGAAAATTATCTCTGCTTATTTTCATAAATTCGATGACATTTTAAAGGTTGGGTGGACCTTTGAAACCAGTCATTCTATCCCCTAGTTTTATGATCTGGCACCGTGGGTAAGAAGAGGGGCCTGGTCTTGGTTGGAATCTTATTTTCAACTATTACTGGTCAACAACCCGCTTTCTGAAACTTTTGTGGCAAAATGTGTTTTGAAGTTCAGAATTCAGAGCATATTAGAAAGGTGATAGAGTACATATTACCTAAAACATCTCATCCCCAGTAAGGTCTGGGGCAGTACCCCATAATCAAACATAGTAATAATTCTGCAAGAAGCACATTAATATTCACACTGTTATGGGTTGAATTATGTCCCCCACTCCAAAGCCACATGTTGATATTCTAACCTGCCAGTACCTCAGAATGTGACTGTAATTAGAGATAGAGTCTTTAGAGAGGTAAAGTTAAAATAAGTTCATTAGAGTAAGTCCTAATCCAATACTACTGTTATCCATCGAAGAAGAAATTAGGACACCGACACATACAGAGGGAAGACCATGTGAAGACAGGAAAAGATGGCCATCTGCAAGCCAAGAAGAGGCCTTAGAAAAACTAACCCTTCCAACACCTTGATCTCAGACTTCCAGCCTCCAGAATAGTGAGGAAAATTTTTCCTTAAAAGCCACCTAAGCCTGTGGTACTCTGTTATGGCCACCCTGGCAAACTAACACACACATTAAGTAAAGATGATAAATAACCTCATGTCAGTTCAAGTCAGGCTCTACTCCCAAATGAGTTATGAAAAACTTCTTGTTTTCAGAGCTTTACTGGTTTCCAAAGGAGAACGGAGTGTGGGCCTGTCCTGTCCATGGACATGTGGACAAGATGCTTAATCCAACCAAGAGCCTGGAGTCACAAACCTTTCCAAGAGCACACAGAGCAATCTGTGAGTCCCTTCCATGCTGTGGAATTGCTTTAGAGTCTGGCTGCCCATGTTTCCAGGCTACCCTATGAACAGATCTGGCCCATGAAATAACTCTTGTACAGATCTCTTTGCAAGAAAATCCCGAATTAGCCTCACACTACGTCTTCTTAAATTGGCTGAATGCTTCAGATTCTTTGCATTCTGTAGCCTTATTATTCATTCCATTTTTGCACCATTTGAGTAACTGACTTTTTCTCCCTCTTCATTCTACTAACATTTCAGTTTGATTTCCACACTGAATTAAAAGAAGGGGGGTCACTTCAGAGCTTCTGTCAGGTAATAAGCACATACGTGTGTATGTAAGAGGAAAATGAGGCATTTGTAAATAGTTTTATTTAACAACCAGCTGTCCTTCCCCCACTTTTCCAAATCCTGGTTAAGGAAAGCAGCCAGCCCTTCTGTTTACCTCAAAAATGGGAGTATGAAAATCAAATTAGATATTTATACAAGACAGGTCTTTGGGAACCATAAAACATCAAATCATAAAAGTTGTGATGATGATGATGATGATGATTTTGATTATATAAGATTTAAAAAAAGCATATTTTTCTGAATCAAATATCAAAGATAATACACAGAAAATTCCCTAAATAAATATTTCTAGTTCTTAAAAATTACAATAAAATACATATAATTAAAATATAATTAATTTTTTAAATGATCCAGAAGAAGCAGGAAGTGCCGAGGTCTTCAGTATGAATATCATTATTGCATTGACAAAGCAATGAAAGAGAGTACCATTTGGATTTGAAGAAACATATAGCACCAGTGCTTTCATCAACATTATCTGAAACAAATAAACTTCTAATTCTTTTTCTTTTAACTCTCAATCTATGGTTGACAGGACAGCAGCTCAAATGGGCAATGCCTCTTTCTAAATATCGATATTCTTCCATAATCTAACTGGAGTCTATTATCCAAGCACCAGTGGGTATACAATTATAAGGAGTCTTGGAAGACATTATTTAGGCACTTCATCCAATACATCTCAGGCTGTGGCAAGTGGTGAGTCAAGTCTCTTCTGGAATTTCCTTTTATTAATGGGCACATTTCCATTCACACATTGCTTAGAATGTTTTTACGGTGGTTTAGACCTTCTTAAATATTCTCACTCTAATCAGTATGGACACAGTGAAATCAGCCTAGAGTGTCTCTTCAGATTCATCCTTTGAAACATTCATCTAAGTTGTATTTCTTTCCTTAAGATGTTGACATTTGAACAAAGAAAAAGGAAGCATGTAAATAAGCAAAATATTTCAATGGACCTATTCAAGAAGGCTTTACAGTGAAATTTGAAGAGAATGGGGGAAAAGATCAGATAAAATGGTAAAACCAGTCACTGTGAAAGAAAAAAGAAAGCATAGTCACATAAAGAAAAACTGATCATGGAGAAAGAAGCTAGTGATTCTCTGGAGGAAACAATAGGGAAGAGACTCCAGAATA